TCACGGTAAGCACACGTGTTCTCTTTGTAGAGGCTGTATGTGCAGAGATCACGGTAAGCACACGTGTTCTCTTTGTAGAGGCTGTATGTGCAGAGATCACAGTAAGCACACGTGGGTCCTTTCCGTTGCTCTTCCCCTCCCTTTCCTTTGCATCATCATGGCTACAGTTGCCCCAGCTGGGGCTCCAGGCTCTGCTAGAGGGGCAGTGCTGCACACCCCCCGGCTCTGAATAAAGGGGGGCGCCGCCATGTGGGGGCCATGTGTAAGCCAGGGCACTGGGGCCCGCAGACGATGGAATTCCAGCACACGGCTGCCACTCCTCTTGCCTGCCCGCCGCTGCCCCCGCCTGCGCCCAGCCGTATGCCAGATCCACACGCCGCCTTTGTGTCATTCCCGCTTGCTGCGCAGTGATGCTGGACTGGAGGGAAAAACACGCCCCGTTCCTGCCTCTCTGTGCCAATGTGCTGCCCCCCCCCCCCCCAGAGACCACATGTGCCGACAATGTGGCTGTCATTAACTCCCAGTGACCCCCAGGCACGAGCAATAACAGTAATAGTGTTCCAGACGGTTTCGCTGAGGATTTCTGGGTGGACCTGATGCCGACTAACCAAACGGATACCTAGATCCTGCCCAGAGTCCACAGCTGCGACGAGTGACAGTGAAACCAGCCATTTTTCAGGAGGACCGCTCCAGGTCTCGATGTTTCTCATTACGGCGGGCACTCAGACAGAGAAAGCGAGGGAGAGAGGGAGGGAGAGAGTGAGGGAGGGAGAGAGTGAGGGAGGGAGAGACTCCCCTCCCAGGTATCCGTGGTGTTCCCGCTGTCCGCAATACGTGCTGCCCACTTGTTAGTCCTGGAAGCTGAATCACACGCTTGACGCTGTGAAGAAGCGGCTGGGACTCGGGAGGAGCAGACATGCCAGCCCTCTGGGCTGGTCCAGCCAGGACCCACCGGACCAGGGAGGAGAATTTCTCAGGAGCGTTTCGGGGGCATTTAAACCACACATACACCCCCCCCCCCCCCCCCCCCAGGATATCGCACCTGGTCGAGGCTACAGTAGACATTTCAAAATATATCACGGTCTGTTTATGCCACCCAGTCTGCAATCCCTGTGCGCTGGATCTTTATTTGATTTTGCGGAGAATGAATCCAGGATGGAGAAAGTTCTGCCCCCGTTGCATCATCATGGCCAACGTCTCTGTGGTCTGTCTGACCCCAGGCAGATTGTAGATGGCTGTACATATGCCACATGCCATCCCTGTTGCTCTGTAACATCTATGCAAAGGTGGACATAGGTTAGCTAAGGAGCTGATGCTGGCTGCCCCCCCCCCCGCAGAATGACCTGGGAGGGGGCCTTGTCGAGTGTAATGGAGGACGCAAGGAGAGCTGGGAGTGAGAGAGGAGTCTGTGGGGAGGGACGCAGCACCGGGGTGACCTTTACGGACGGCGTCAGCACCACGGGCCCCCGGTCCTGTGGAAGACCCCCCTGCAGTGCACATGCTATACGGCAAAACTACAGCATCGTGCTGTCAGCCTCTGTCTCTGAGCCCGGTGGGATGGCGCACTGTCATTAGCGATTGCTAACGGCATTAAGGTGGGGGCCCGCGGGCTGTGAGTGGCAGGCCGGCAAGTCGGGGGAGAAGTGAGCCCCGGCTCCGGCATTCTGCACTTAATAATGGTGCACGCGTGTTAAATAAAGAACACAGTCTGCCAGTGACACGGTGACACGCCATCAGCTTTGACAAATTATCACCATAACTACAGGATGTCATTAGGGCCGCTTTAAACAAAGCCCTCGTTTTTATTCAGATGGCTTTTCTCCAGAACAATGAACCCCCCCCCCCCATATCTGCCGGGGGTTCTCCTCAGGACCCGTCGCTGTCTTCCTCCCTGCCTTTTGTTCTCTGTCCCGGGGAAAAGCTCCGCGGTCGTTTCACTGGCGTGTCCCGTCCGTCACGGGCTGCCTCACAGGGGTTGTCTTTCCTGCGCGGCAAATGGTAACAGGGCAGAATTAAACGCTGTGAGAGGCGCGTCGCCCAGGTGCGACCCTTTGTGTGCTTTGATGTCGCCGTCCGGCCCGGCACTTTCTCGCGATTCCGCCGCTTTCCATAAAAGGCCCGTCTATGTTCCATTTGAAATCCAATCCGGCTTGCATTGTCTGGCCCTCTTTCAGAATCCATCTGCCCAGTATCACTTCTGTCAGCCTCTCCACTCCGGCATCCGTCAGCAGGGGGGCAAACAAATAACCAGTTTACGCCCTGGCTGCAGTCTCGGGGGGGGGGGGGGCTTTGGACTGACCCACCCTGAGGAGGCTGGACCCCCCTCCCCTGCCTTGCTGGGCTGTCTCCCCACCATTCTGTACCGCAAAGCCTGCTGGGTAGCAGCCCCCTTGTACAGGAAAGCCTAAATGGGCCTTAATTAGCATCCTCGGGCTCTGACAAGTGATCGAGGATACTTAGCAATTTGAGGTTCAACTGCCGGCTGTCTTGCGGGGTCCAAAGTGCAGGGCTGTCAGGCCTCTGGGCTGTTCATCAGGCAGGGGGGGCAGAGGACGGGGGTGGGCCAGTTTGGTGGCCATTGCATTGACACCCCATTTGGGGTCAGTAGAACGTGGCCTCAGTTTAATTAGGATTACAGACGGCCGCCCATTAACACTAACCGTTTCAAACTCACCAGCATTTGTCCATGTTGGGGTCGGTTGGGGGGGTTGAGGGGGGGGTGGGCAGAGAGTCCAAGCCATCAGCGCAGGCTGTGGGGGGGTATAGCGTGGCCAGTCCCAGTAACACTTATCCCAGAGGCGCTGTCGTTCCTGCTTGTCCGTATTGTCGACTGCACGGCTGACCTCTCAGGGATGCGTATGCAGCGAGGACAAGGCAAAAGAAGCATACCGCTGGGGGGGGGACCAGCCTGCATTCACTGCTCGAGTTTGACCAGTAATCAAAAAGACATGCATTTTAAAACAATTATTATCCAAGATTAGGGGGGATCTTTCACTGTGTTTGTGCACAGGGCCAAATTAAAATTTGGTTGTTTCTGAAAGGCAGTTCTAGCGGTCAGTGTTAGTGTGTCAGGCAGGAAACTTCTAATCGTCAGCTTGTTTACTGCACGGGAATATTTGTTATAATCCCCTTATCGGCCCAAGCTGCAATCATACTGTATTTTCCCGAGGAATAATGTTCAGTGATTAAAAGCAGTCGGCCTGATCTCAGATGTGCCCTCAAATTGATATGAATATCACATGATGGAAAAAGTATTTCCTGCAGATATTTAACGTATCGGACGTGCCTAATCTTGTTTTCCATTGTTCTCCTCATTTTTAATGATCTTATTTGTTTATTTGCTGTTGTTTTGACTCAGATACTTGCCCCTGTGGGCTGTTAGTGTTGTCAGATCTGATCTGCTAATCTGCAAATCAGCTAATATGGTGTGTTTGCTGGCCAATCAGATGTGGCTCCTGACATTAATTCCTCGAATAACTGGATACCACGGCCTTGAACGAGATCTTTCCCCGAATTCCCTGTCAAACACAGATGGCTTTTCTCCTCCTTAGTCTGTGAAAGCCCAGTGCGATTGGTCAGTCAGTCTCCGCTAGATGCTGCAGATCACGTTCCGAGGAGCTGCATCACACCAGATCGCAGGAAAGGGATTCGGGATCAGAAGTCAGATGCGAGCAGTCGGATGCCGCGTGCTGCACCCTGGCCGCTTACCCTGCCTCGCTCTAGCCCCGGTCTCCCCGCCGTCTCCCTTCCTGACCTCTGACCTCTGACGCCCAGCAGATTCCTGCAGCCATCTCCCAGCAGTGGGGGGTGGGGGGACATTCCCCATGATGGACTGCCCGTGTTGGGGGGGCGGATACGGGCCTGCAGCTCCTCACTTTCTCGTCACACTAAATCACTGGTCCTCCGCCGCTTCATGCCTGCTCTTTCCTCCCTCGTACCTTCTTGTATATTAATCGTTTCCCCCGCTTTGCTGGTGTGCTCCATCTACACACCCTAAAGCCAGGTGGGGACTTGATCTGTGTCAGGCTCGCTGCTTTTGGCTGCTTCGCCCCCCCATGCCTGTAAATATGGAGGCACCCATGTAGAG